GTGGCATACCTGGCTCAGATGGTCCCGGGCGAGTCTCTCCCGCCACTGCTGCGCGGCTCTGGCGCCGAAGCTTCAGCGCTGTCGTCTTGAAGGCCAGCTTGGCTTCCGGCCCTGGCGTCCCGGGGGGAGCCCTCCAGATGACTGTGGCATCAAGACGGATCATCTCAGCCACCTCGTCCTGCAAGCTGGCCTCCTCCTGCTTGAGCTTGTTCGGTCTCTCGGATTTTGCCGCGGTCTGCCCAGTCACCCAGAGCCAAGAGGCTAAGCTCGTCCAGCTGGAGAAGCGATCCGACTGACGGCCCCACTCGCCTCCAGGAGTAGGTTGTAACCGGAGGTCTCCTGGGTAAGCAGGGTGACCTGCCTCAGCTCCCAGGGCCGACCCGCCCGATCGAAGCAAACTCCACAGCGCTTCCGAGCACCAGCTGAGAGAGAGCCGTAGGCCTCGACCCAGGCTTCGGCCCACGCGAACCCACAGGAAAAGTGGGCCGGCACAGCCCAACGGAAGCCAGCCCGTGATTGAGCCTGCTTGCCCTTGGCACAGAAGAAATGGGCCGTCGACTGCGTCAGGCAAACCGGGAACGACCGTGCCAGGTGCTTGTGCCGAAGGCAGCCACTAGCTATCAGCCAGTCAGCCAGGAGGCAGGTCCAGCGAGGATCGCACTGATCGTGTAGCCGAGCCACGCGATGCTCTGGCTCTGCAACGGCAGCCTGAGCGGGTCCCTCCCGCCCCAGCTTAGGAGCCGGCCGCAAGCCCTCCAAGTCCCAGGGGAGGCCAGCCATCTTGGTGAACCACCGGAGGCCAGCCAGGGCCCTCGACGAAGCCTGCGTACCCTCCTGCAGGAAAGCGAAGAGGTCGATGGCGTCCACATCGCCCAAACCTGCCGACCGTCCGCGGAGGTGCTGCCACTGGGAAAGCTCTCGCAAAGTTCTCAAGGTACCAGCTACCGTGGAGCGCTCCGAGGCAGCTACCTTCTTGGCTGCAAGAACCCGCAAGAATGACAGCCACTCCTGCCTCCTTGCACCAGTGACATCCGCTGGACGCCGAGCCCCGGCCTCGACCATGAAGTCAGCCAGCTCTGAGACTTTAGGGCCAGTCACTGTGGCCTCACCTGGCTTCCGTCGCTTGGGTGCTGGCCGACCTGCTTCGGCAGCTGCGGCGCCCGCCGCCACAGCGCGATCGACCAAACCCAGGAGAGCATCATCCTGCATGTCCTGGGAGACTTCTGACCAGGCATCAGCGACCGCATGCCCAGCGTTATGCGACGCCTCTTCCCAAGAGGAGAACGCGTAGGCAAAATCGTTGTCAGCCTGAAGTCCGTGGCGTTCCCTGAACGAGTTCACCGCCCTCGCTGCCATCCTGTCCACCACTGTCTCCGCTGCAGTGCCAGGCGGGGCGTCCACGGCCCCAGCACGCCCCTCCATCGCCTGTACTGCATAAATGCCGCTCATTGGCCCTGCCAAAGAAGCAGCAAGGAAGACCCTCAACCTATGAGCCGCAGATGCAGGAATGGGCGCAATCAAGGCATGCTGGCTCTCGGCAACGGTGACAGATGAGAACAGACGGCAGGCCACAACTCTTGCAAGGAGCCGGGAGAACGGGCAACCCTGCCTCGATGGCGCCAAGCAAAAACCAGAGGGCGCGATGGGCCCTTGAGCGACGGTCCCTCCGTCCTTCGGCCCAAGACGGGATCGGAGAGTAGGCTGGCTCCCGCCAAATACGCTCACCCTGGTGCCAGTCCCGCCACAGGAGCCAAAGCTGTCCTGGGGTCGCTCCCCCCGGATGGGCCTCCTCGCCAATCCGCTGCACCAGCCTGTTCGCATGATCTGGCAAAATATCTGTCGGGCAGAGGCCCGAGCCCATCCTGAAGACATCATCAAAACTGAGGCGCTCGGGCCCGCTCCTGTGATACTCAGCCCAGGCTCCACCGCCCCCGAAACCACGATGGAGCGACGTGCATATGTGCCCACGAAAGGGAAGCGGAACCCGCCTCGGCCTTCGCGGCATCGAACACAATCGACCTCGATGCACGGCACGGTACGGATGGGAGGCACTCCAGGCGGTAGCCCCTCCAACAGGCCCCGAGGAGGCGGTGGGTAGTGCTGCACTTCCAAAACTGAGCCCCACAACAAGGCGGCCTCATAACTCTGGCCTGCCTCGACCAGCTCGCGAAGCCTGGCCCGGAACTCCAACAGAGCCGCCGGATGGAGTAGCTGTGTACCTGTGTGCACAGCCAGGCGGGCGAAGGCATACAATGCTGCAGGATCCGCCTGCATAGCATGGAAGAGGGTCACTCCCTCAGAAAGACAAAGAGGGTCACTCCCTCAGCACACAAAAGCGAATGGGGTCAACTCCCCTCAAAAATCAGCTGCCCGCCGTTTTGGATCAGACTTGAGCCAAAGTGGCGGACAGCAGCAACAAGACTAGAATGATGCATGTGCACCCAAGCCTGCCAAACTCTACACATGTATATACACACCTATATATATACATACATATATA